TACCTCTTGCTGATACTCAACAGTAGAACCTTCCACTGAGACGGTCATGCCGACTGGAGGAATAGTAGAACCTTCCACCGGCACCTGAAAAGATGCATAATTGCCACCAGCAGCTGCTACTTCACCTGCATCCTTTATCTCGGGTGTAGTTGTAAAGTACTCTGAAGCCATAATCTTATTCAACTTTTCCCTTAAGCCAGCATCTGAAGTGGAACCACAATTACTAAGTGAAACACTATAGATAATCATCAAGAAAACCACATTATGTAAACATAATCCTAATAAATAGTTGCCAAAATAGGATAATACTAGAATTTTCACAAGAACCCTGCCAAGGAATTCTCGATACATGCACTGCATGAACGAATATGGTTCTACGAGACTGCGAATCAATGGGTTCAATATGGTAATGAACAAATACTTACAATAATTTGCGGTATAACTTCCATGTTGCAAATTATTAACTATATTAGTCAACCATCAACCATAAGTACCAAACTGCACTAATGCACTATTCAGATGCAAAAGAGAGATAAATGAAAAATACGGCGATACAAAATGGTATACAAACAGAAAGGCACTCAAGCTGTGCTTATTAAGCTACTATGACACTCACATCCTAGCACTGAAAGGTCAAAACAACCTTACACGAACCCTCAGCATAAAAGCATTCTACATAGAAAGATGATATGGTCTACAGCCACAAACTAACACTAGCCATTTATCCTCAAAGCAAGCAAATCATCATCAGAACAAAGTAAACCCGCAAAATCACTTCATAGAAGGTACCATCCATAGAACAAAGCAACTCTTAACACTCGAATCTTGAAATACCACCCATAGATGATTGAACATAACAACCACCAAAGCAAGCAATGGAGAAAAATGTACATACTAAAAGGGCAAAGGAGAGATTTATCTTACAAGTGACATTTGAATCGGGCTCAATAGGCTGCTCCACATTCCCAAGCCATAGTTTGGCATGCTCCACACACTTCTGCAACGCGTTCTTATGGGACAGGCTCGAATTGACAGGCCGCGAAACCAACAAGCTCCCGAGCGAGGCAATCAAGTCCAAATCGGGCTCTTGCAGGAGATCCGCGGCAGCATCGTCGTCCGTGATGCAATCATAAGTCAGGCAGCAGTTCCTCTCGTGCGTTCTCGTGAGCAGATTGTCCCGTGCTAAAAACAGCGTCTTCACGTCAAAGACGGTGCCGAAGTACAGCAGGTTGAGCAGATCGTAAACCGCCGAGTCGGAAGTGGGTGTCCCCGATTTCTCCTCCGCCTCCGCAGTGGACGCGGCCTCGCTCGGGATTTCGGTGGCGGCGGCGACGGGGTCCGTCTCCTGCTTGTTTTTCTCCAGAGCAAGCTCGATTTCCTGGCCGACGGCTTGGAGGAGCGGCTGCTTGAGCTTCTCGAGCTCGTCGATGCCGGCGAGGACGGAGGATTTGGAGCGCAGGGTTTCCTCCTGCTCCTTGTTGAGGGTTTTGCCCTGGGAAACAGAATCCTCCATCTGCGCGATGCGGTTAAGCTTCTTGCGCAGTGCACGAAGGCGCTTGTTGACTAGGTTGAGGACTGGCCCGTCGGCGGCGGTCTCGGAGGAAGGCGATTGTGGTGCTGCTGGTGCCGCCGCCGCCATTTTCGATTGTTGACGCGGGTGGGTGAGGAGTATAGTGGCGTTGAGAGATTAGGTTGCAGGCCGCCGTGGGCGGCGGAGAAAGGGTTTGGGAAGGGTTTTTTTTTTTCGGAGGCGGAGAGATTGGAGGGTGAATTAGTACAGTAGCCATAACGAGTCAAATTATTTATACACGATTTTTTTTTTTTTTTT